TTTTTTTTTTTTTTTTTCTGATGTGAGGATTACTAAACTTTTACCTGAGCACCTCTACTGTGGCCGATCTCCTCCAGGCTGCTGAGTGCCTGAGGGTGCAGCCTGGAGGAGAAGACTCTGGAAAAAATGATTGCAGTCCAGTGCAACCCTCCCACCCTTTGGTGAGTTCCTACTTTGTGCCAGGAAGCACTGAGAGGGTCCAGTCTTGGCCTGGTGAGTCCCAAAGAGTTGCTTGGAGGAGTGGGCCTCTCAGCTCAGAAGGTCTCCAGAGCCATTGTGCTGACCTTCACTGTTGTATGCCTGTGAAACCCAGGCAGACTACCAGCACCATGCCTGGAAACTGAGCTGCTTTCACTCGAATAGTCTCAGATTCTGAAGATCACTTGGCAAGATAAAGTATCAGACACCAAGGTCCTTTCTTGAGCTGAACTGCCAAGCAGTCAAACTCTACTACAGAGATCGCAACTCTCATGGACTGGCCATGTTGTTCGAATGCCATACATTTGCCTAAAAGACGATTTTATGGAGAATTCACGCAAGGCCGGCGCTCACACGGAAGTCAAAAGAAGTGATAAAAAGACACTCTCGGGGTCTCTCTGAAGAATTTTGGAAGTGATTTCATGATGTGGGAGACCCTGGCAAAAGACTGTCCAGCATGGTGTGCCTGCATCAAAGAAGGTGCTGTGCTCTCTGAGCGAAGCAAAATGGCAGCAGCTCAAAAGAAAAGTGAGATGCGCTATTAGAGCTATCTCCATTCCAAACGTTCACACGGATTATCTGTGCCCGACCTGTGGTCCAGCCTTCTGAACTCGTATTGGTCTGATCAGCCCCAGTCGAATGCACTGTACCTTGACCCCAGCATTGTGATGCCATTTTGGTCCTCCTCAAGTACGAAGGGCACACAACAAGCAAACACCAGTGTGCATCGCCACCAGGGGACATGCTACCCACACAGTGATGTTAAGGAGAGGGCCTGGAGGGGGTTGGGTAGCAGTCTTGGAAACACCTCCCTGGGGTAGAGCTGGCCAAGGCAGGCAGCCGAGGCCCCAGAACTCTGTGAAAAAGTTTGGGACGGTCTTGATCACTTGCATCTAGCAAGCATTTATTCAGTTCTTACTGTATGTCAGCCAGTGGAACCTGTGCTCCGCTTTATAATCAGGTCCTGCCTTCCAGGGGCTCTCATTCCACCCGGAGGGAGGGCAGCATCCTGAATACCCAGACCAGGATCCATTTGAATTCCAAAAGGGAACGGAACCTGCCCAATAGCGGGCTGTGAGCGCTCTGTCTGCCTCCTAGCCTCATTGCTCAGTACTGACTGGGTTTTTTGGTTTTTTGGTTTGTTTGTTTTTTTTTACCACAAACCCTAAAACCCTGCAGTTCCTGTCCCCACCCCTCAGGGAAGGGCTCTCCAACCTCCCTCCCTGAGCTTTCAAGACCTAGCTCCTGGAAGACCCCCAAATTTTTTCCTCCTTCATGAGTTCCTGGGACTCAGCTAATCTGTGGATGATAATAATAGCTAGTATTTATACCTACTAGGTGCCAGGCACCATGCTAAGCACTTTACAAATATGATTTCATTTGATTGTTATGATAACCTTGGGAGGTAGGTGCGATTATGATCTTCACCTTATAGTTGAGGAAACTGAGGCACACAGGTGAAGCGACTTGTCCAAGATCATGCAGCTGGTGTCTGAGTTGAGAAACACCTAGCTCAAGCTGGACCTGAGCAGCAATTAGCCTCCAGCTAGAGCTAGAGTTTCCATAAACAGATGTCTAGTGACAGGGAGCTCACAAACTCTCCAGTAACTTAAGTTCTTCCTTACCTAAAGCCGAAATGTGCCTTTCTGTCACGGTCTCACAATTTAATCTAACAGACATGATGTGCTTGTGTACCAGTTCCTGAACTAGACACTGAAAAGTCAAAGTCAGCAAGCATATTTGAAGCGCCTACTCTGTGTTGTCACAGCTCAGTCTAATAGCTGGGGTGGGGGTGGGGAACGAGCAAATGAAGATGAGATGAAAAGGACACAGGAGGGGGAGGGGGTACCCTCACACACTGGCAGAGTCTAGAAAGTGAAGCAGGGTTGGTCTGAGCCTTTTCTCCAAATGAGGATGGAGTTTCCTGCAGGAACACACCAGTGAGAAAAGGAATCCAATAGGTCTGGTAGGAGTTAAGGGTCTGATGACAAATGTGGTGATACAGGACTAGAGGTTCGGGGGTTAAGGGTAGACAAAGATGAATTTGAAGTAATTTGGGGGTAGGCAGTCACTAACTCCTGGGGGAGATCAGGAAAGGCCTCCTTCATGCAGAAAAGCTATGGCATCTGAGCTAAGCCTTGATGAGAAAGGGGATTTGAATAGCAGAGGGGAAGAGAAAGCACGCCAGGAATGGGGGGACTACTAGCCCATTGGAGCCCATGTTTCAGAGACATCGAAAGGTAATTGCAGGTAAGTCAGGAAGGGCTGAAAAAGCCAACCCGAAGACTTTGATTTGGATTCTAGAGGAAAGAGGAGTCGTGAATAGGAAAGTGACATGGTCGGATGTGTGTTTTAGGAAGGTGTAGAGAGATGTGTTGAAGAGGGGAGCTGTTTAACTGCTTTTTTTCTCAGCCGAGGAACATGACCTTACAGACAGAAATGGCTAACCGGGAGTCGTTGTCACTTAAGACAAGCAGACAGTAAGACAATGCCAAGTTGCTCTCGATGAGTTTGTCACCTGGTTAGCGTGAATGGCACCTTTGGGTCTTGGAAGAAGTGGCAGCCATCATTGCTGAGCCACTGTCCCTGATATTTGGAAGATAATGGGAAATGGATGAGGTACCAGCAGATTGGAGAGAAAAGGCAACCAGGAAGGAACAGAGCCAACCAGGCTGCAAGATACAGGCCAGTGAGCTCGCTGGCCGTTCTTGGGAATGGATCATGAAAAACATGAGTGGGGAACATCCACCTTCAACGGGAAGTGGTGATTTCAGAGCACAAGACTGGCTTCCTCGAGCATAGAACAAGCCAGACTAAGTACAATGCCACCTTTTCATGATTACTGACCTGGTCGTTGTCAGGAATGCTGTAGATAGCATTTGCTAAGATTTTAGTACAACATTTGGTGATATGTCTCATATTTTTCTTAAGGAGGATATAGAGAGGTGTGGACTAGACAATAATACACTTTTCCAACGGATTCAGAACTAGCCGGCTGGCCAGAGCCTAAAAGGAATCCCTAAGGGTTCAATGTCAGCTTGGTAGGGGGTCTCCAATGGAGTGCCGCAGGGCTCTGTGCTGAGCCCTTGACTGCTTCACCTTTCTTTATCAGGTGAATTGAACAAAAACATTTGGATGCTCAGTAGATCTGGGGATAACACAAAGCTAGGAGTACAGAGTCAGAATCCCCACAAAAAGTTAGGTTAGAATGCTGGGCTGAATCAATACAATAAAGTGAAGGATGGGGGAAGATATAGACAGTGGTGGACCCATAAAGATTTGGTGGCTGAATGGCCTCCAAGCTCTGGGAACCAGCCAGCATTGGGAAGCCAGCTCTATTCTGCCCTGGGCACACCACATCTTCAGGATTATCTCCACTTCTGAGCACTATAGTTTAAGAAGGATTTTGAGGACCTGGAGGGTGTGTGGCAGAGCAGGGCCTCAAGTTTATGTCATATGGGGATCAGTTTAAGAAGCAGAGGATGTTTAGCCTGGAGAAGAGATAACACTGGCAGGAGCAGGAGGGGTGGGGTGGGGGGGTCGGAACAGGGGAAGACAGGAAGGCTTGCTTCCATATGTGAAGGGCTATCTTGTGGAAAACAGATTAGACTGTTAGTTCTGCTTGACCCTTGGAGAGCAGAACCCAGAACTGGGGACAGAGAGGCTCCTTCATGGTGAGAAAGACTTCCTGACAATTGGAGCCATCCCCAAGTGGCCTGCTAGTCAACTTGGCCTCATTCAAGGTCCTAAAGCAAAGCCGAGCATTTGCCAGGTTTCTTCTAGTGAGGATTGAGGATTCCTTTGGGATGTGGGTCAGGTGAGAAATCCTCTGAGGTCTCTCCCATTTTGTGACTCTGAGATTTCAAACCTTGGTGACTAGGAGGATGGCAGTGTTCTCAATAGAAATGGGGAAGCACCAAAGAGATCTGGGTTTGGTAAAGAAAACGGAAGGTTTGTGGATGCGTTGAGTTTGCAATGCTTTTGAAATATACTGACTCTGGTGGGGACGTTCATCTGGCCAGGGGAGATGAAGGCGCCCAGGGCTGGACATAGAGATCAGATGGACAGATAGGGAGGGGAGGGGATCAAGGGCACAGGAGAAGGAATTGGTCTCGATCCTGGAGAGTGTGGCCAAGGGCTCGGTATCTTCTTGGGGACCCCTGCCCAGAACAGGACCAGGACTTGGGGAGAGTTGGGGGGGGGGTGTGTCTGGAAAGAGGTCGCATAGTCTGGAGGGGAAGGAGGTGTAAATGGGTCAGCCAGAGCCTAGGTGCTTTTTTCTCCTAACACGCGGTGGACTATGGCAGCTTCACCCTGGCTAGCCTCGGTGGTGGTCGGGGTGGGGGTGGGGGGGCGACGCTTGTGGCTGAGTAGGTTTTTAGGTTTTCTCTTCTCAGCCGGCCCCGGCAAAGTAAACTCCTCGTGTTCCTAATCATTCAGGTCCCAGGCATCCCCACTCCCCAATCGGGGAGTGAGCCTCCCATCACCCAGGCAGAAAGGGCCTCGAAGACGGCCCCCTATTTGTGAGGAAGGACACAGCTGCCCTCATCCCTCAGTCCAGGACTGGCTCGGGTCGTTTTGCTTTCCCAGTCACCCACCTTGGGAGTAGTCTTGGGAGGGCGTTTCCCCTCCCCTGGGCCAGGAGGGCCTCCCCGCTCGTTCTGGGTCCCCTCCATATAGGGAGACAGGAGCGTCGGCCCCGCCCTCGCCGCCCTCTCCCTCCCTCTCGCCTAGAGGTGGTGATTCACGCTCTGGCTGGGCAGGGGTGGGGTGGGGTAGGGTGGGGTGGGGTGGGGTGGGCAGCGGCCTCACCTACTTCCTACTGGGCGGCGGAGGACCCAGGGCTGTCGGGAATTGCCCGTACAACTCGAGCTCCGGGGCAGGGACCTCAAGGAAGGAGGGCCTCCGAAGCAGCGCCTACCTCTCTCCCTCTGGCCCCAGGATGGCGGACTCGGAGCATAGCCCAACTCCGAAATGCTCGGCCGCCTGCACTGCGTTCTCCCGCACCCGCAAGGGGATTTTCCTCTTGGCCGAGATGGTGAGGGCTTCTGGGGGAGGGAGGGAGGAGAGACCGGGGGCCAGTCGGGGTACCTGGAAATCTGGCGTGGCCGGGATGTGGGGGAGGGGGACTTGGGGACTGTCGCTAGTGGCTAGGAAGGAAGGGTGTGTCTGAGCACGTGGAGGGAAGGAGGAAGGAGCAGCCCTAGGGTCTCCCTCGGAGGAACGTGGGACCTCTCCCACTCCCACTGGGTCTTCTCCCTAACCCGATAACCCAGCCCCTCACTTCCCAGAGGGTGGGGAGGGGAGGGGAAGAAAGGGGAAACTGAGGTTGAATGGGGACCGGGAGAACTTATTCTCGCGCCCCCCGCGTAGAGGGGGAAGGGAGGGAGGAAAAGCTAGATGAGACTGGCGGGGTAGGGCGGGGCGGGAAGGAAAAAAGGGTGTGTCCCCCCCTTCTCGCGGTCTCTGCCTCCTTCCTCTCTCCCCTGGCTTTCTCCTTTCCGTCCCCTCCCCCGCCCCCGGCCTAGGGTACCGGGGCAACTCCCCACCGCGTCCCCCTGGGGTGTTCCCGCCGCCCTCCCTCTGCTGCCCCTCCGGCTTCCCCCCCTCCAGTTTCCAGGGCCAGCGGCGGTGGGGCTGGGGGTTGCGTGCCTGTGGTCCTTGCCTCAACTCCCCTCTCCCTTTCTCGAATTGGGGAAATCGGAAGCAGCCTGTCGCTCAGCCTCCCATCCCCCAGCAGCTCTGGAACCTGAACCATTCCTGCTTTCACCCCCTTTTCTTCTTTTATTTCCCTCATTCCCTCGCCCCCATCCCCCACTCAGCCAGCTAGCCGCTGGCTCCATATCTTGTGGCTGGGGCTGTCTGTGGTCCTGGGGCAGTGGCGTCGGGGAGCCAAGAGGGAGGAGAGCCGCCGGGGACAGCGGAGCCGAAGGCCCTGAATCCGACTGCAAAACTCTCGGGGGTCTCCTTGGAGATCCTGCGGGGGAGGAGGGAGGAGGGAGGAGGGAGGAGGGAGGGGAAGGGCGCTGGTTCCCGGGCCCGGGGAGGAGAGCCTCGGACCTGGACCAAGCAGCGCCCTCTGTCGGAGGGTTAGCGAGCAGTGTTGTCCTGTCCCTCTTCTCGCTCCCCCCACCCCTCCTTGCCTTTCTTCTCCCTGAGCCAGGTGCTGTGTTTGCTGATCATCATCTGTTACTCAGCCTCCCGAGTGAAGGGTTACCTTACTTTACCTGTGCTGGAGATGGTCATGGCTGGGGTCTTTTTTGTCATCTTTATGTTGAACATACATCACCAGTTGCAGTTCATCAACTGGCCCTGGAGTGTGAGTGCTGAGGGGCCGGGGGTGGCGGCTACGGGGGCTTTCCCTCCACCTCGCGTCTGCGGATCCCCTCGCCCTTCCTGAGCCAGGGCTTCATCTGGCCCGGCACGTCGTCACCTGACGAGCCGGGGCCAGAGAATTCTGCCCACCCGCCCAACCCTTGGAATTGAGGCCTTGTAGCGAAGTCCCAGAAGCCCTCTCCTGTTAAGTCCACTTGGGGTCCCCACTCACTGCTCCCCCCTGCCTCCCCTGCAGGACTTCTTCCGAGGTCTCATCGCATCTGTCCTCTTCTTCATCACCTCACTTATTACCATCATCAAAAATGTGGATGCTCAGAGTATGGTTGGAGGGGTAAGCTCCCCTGGAGCCTGGGCTTCCCCAGGACTCTCCTCCAGTTTGTCTGCTGTGGGATAAGGGCTGGCCTGCACCCTGGTGCTCTTGTTTCTTACCTTCATCCTCCTGGCCCTTAGGTATTGGGGCTGGTGGCCACCATCCTGTTTGCCTATGATGCCTATAGCACTTTCCAAGGCCAGCGGAGCCGCCACACCCCAGCTGCCACTGGTGAGTGCCAGTGCCAGTGCCTGGGAGGACTGTGCAGGGGACTGGCCAGATCAGGCTTTTCTTCATTTTCCCATCCTCCCCCCTGCAGAGTCTCCCGATGGCCCCTCCTAGCACCACTGTGGCCACCATGGGCTCCCTCACTCACAAAAGGAGGATGAAGAGGGTGACCAGTGGAGAAGCCCAAGTGTCTTTGGATCTCCCTCAGCCCCTTCTTGCAGGAGCCAGCCTCTTTGCCCCCATGAGCCTCAGCTGCAGCCCTCAGTCAAGTTGTACCAACTTGTCCCAGAGAGGAGGCCAAAGGCTTTGGGGCAGAGGGCAGGAAGAGGATGAATAAACGGGTAATAAATTGACTTGTCTGTGGATTGTGAGCTTCATTGGTGGGCAGCAGCAGATACTGAGACATGGGGGGAGAAGGAGTGGGAGGGGGGAGGAGGCAGCCTAACAAAACACCACCTGGAAACTCAAACACGTGACAATAATCCTTTTAATGGGCAGAGCCACCAGCCTGCAAAGGATAGCATGGAGTAGAACATTCTAGAGGTACTGGGGTGGGGGTGGGGAGCAAGAGGGCTGGGCAGCCAGAATGCAGACCCCAGTGTGGCAGAAGAGGGATACAGAGAACTTGACCCAGCATCCGCTTCAACCCCAACTGTTGGGGACAATGAGGCGGAGAGGGAGGAGGAGAACGAGTCTGCACAAGGCCTTCTTGGTAGGGGCATGTGTGAGCCCAGCCAGGCCTCAGGCCACAATGCAGTTCCTGTCCCTGTCTGGGTGGCAGCCCTGGCTCAGAGCCTGCCTGGGAGGCCCAGGGGAAGTTTCCCATGTCCCTTCCTTCCCTTGGGGCCCCAGAGTGGCTCTCTGCAGGGCTGGGGGCAAAGGAATGGGCTCCCCAAGGAAGTAGCCATCCTCCTCTGAGTCAGAGGAGGAGGAAAGAGAAGAGGAGACCCAAGCCAAGTCCCACCCCAAGTGGGCACTGTGGCGACGGTGAGGCAGCCGATGAGGCTGTGGCCTTCTCGGACTGGGCTGGGCTGGAAGGCTGTGTGGAGGGGGAGGAGGAAGGCCCTGGAGCTGCTCCCTCTGCTGTGGGGCTTGGGCCACCAGGGGTTCTCGGAAGCTAACTCGGAGTTCCCCTCGCCGGCAAAACTCGGGGCCCTCCACGGAGGCTGCTGGGCGTCGGAGGCCCAGCGCAGGCATGGAGTGGCGCTGTGGGGCGCCCCGGCAGAAGTGGCTGCATGCTCTGCCTGCCAGGGAGCCTGCCCGGGAGCGGGCTCGGAGTGCTGTTGTGTCGGGAACCAGAGGGTGTGGGGTGACTGCTGTTGCCCCCACTGTCGCCATGGCCACTGTGGCCTCTGCTGGAGCAGGGAGGCTACAGGCTCGAGAGCAGAAGATCTGTCCCTGCCTGGGTAGGAAGGGCTCGCCCAGCAGGGGCCGCCCACAGCGGCAGCAACTGAAGCAGCTCTCAGATGCGTGCCAGTGCTGCCCACCGTACGTCATCTGGCCCTGTTCCATTCCTGGTCAGGGAGAGGACAGAGCATGAGCTCAGTCATGGAGAAAGGAGGCAAAATGGAGCCAGAGGCACCCTGGCTCCTGCCTCCCTGAAGCAGGGGCCCTCCTTCTCAGTTTTTCCGCTAAGGCCAAGCTCAGAAGCAAGGTTACCTCACCCACTCCCCCATAGCTGTTTCTCTTCCCAACCCCACTCAGCCTATAGGCTCTGGAGTACACAGGTCCACAGAGCCTCCCCCAGCTAGATGGAGCACGAGAAGGGGTGAGCAGAGGCTCAGGAAACCCCCAGAGCCAAGCACTCATTGCGCTTCCTCTGGTTGGATGGGGGCAGCATCCTCACCGATGCGCTCTCCACAGCTGTCGCAGTACTGGGTGTGCCGGGCCTCATAGCAGGCCCCACAGTGAGGCCGGCTCCCCCTCATCACGTAGCGCTGCCCTCCCAGAGGCCCCTCACAGTCAAAGCAGCAAAAGTGTCGGATGTGCCAGTGACGGCCTTCAGCCTCTGTGCATTCTGCCGCAAAGATGATCTGGAGAAGGAGACGGGCAGGGAAATGGGAGGACGGAAGGGCAAGAGGGCCCAAAACAACTCTCTTCCTCCCAAAGAGTGGGCGGGCTGTGCCCCCTGGAGTCTACATGCCCCGACCCTCTGCCCAGGTGCACCCCCCCCACCACGGCAGTCCCCTCAGATACTTCATCACAGGCTTGGCAACGGGGCCGAAGGCACTCGGCATGATGACGCCCACAGTAGATCTTCCCAGCCTGGTAGAAGTAGATGAGATCGACAAGTAGTTCACCACAGGTAGTGCAGAGGAAGCACTGGGGATGCCAACAGGTCCCATGGCCGGCCCGGCTGGCGAAGACAGCCAGATCCCCCCCTCCGATCTGCTTCCCACACTAGGAGGGGGGAGAACCAAGGCACCGTTGGCAACTAAATCAGATGGTCAGCCAACAAGCATTGTTAGACCAGGAGCTCCTCTGGGGCAGGGCTTCTCTTTTCCCTTTCTTGGCATCCCTGGCACATAGTAGGTGCTTCACCCATGCTGGCCAACTGCCTGAAACAAAGTGCCTACTTTGGGCTCAGACCACTGCTGTGGGGCTAGAAAGTGAGATGTTGGCCCCTCATGGGGTTCACCTATTCTACTGGGGAAAACAACCACGTTTGCAGATCAACTCTTCCCAATCAATCCCAAGTCCATTTGGGGAGGGAAAGGAGGCCCTGGCAGCTGGGGGGATGAATCAGGCTAGGTCCCAGGAAGGATATGGGGCCTGAGCTCAGTCTTGAAGGACAACAGGAATTTGAAGAGGCACAGATGAAGAGAGAGGGCCTTCCAGTCAGAGGGTATGGCCTGGGCAAAGGTGTGGAAACAGAGTGACGAACAGCAGAACAGAAACGCAGGTCATTTGGGCTGCATTACAATTTGCGACGAGGCTAAAAAAGGCAAAGTGGGCACTTCTGTCTGATCCAGGAGGCAATGGGGAGATGTTGGAGTTTCTTTTCTGGGAAACTCAGGAGAGGCGTGTATGTGGGGAAAGTGCAGCACAAGAGAGCCCCCGGGCACTCCTCACCTGCTCACAGATGGCCCCAGTGATGGACACCGGGAATGCTCGGACAGCCCCCCGTCCCAGGTTTTCCCGTCTCCGCTTTTGGCTGAAGAGCCTCAGTTCCTTCTCTTCCTCTTCTTCTAGTGCTGCACAATACTGGGCCTGGGAAGTGAAGTCACAGAAGTCCACCACTGCTGATGACTCAGTTGTCCATCCCCAGTTACTAGAGCTGGGCCTCCTCTCTTCACTTAACCTTTCAAAAAATCCAGCAGGATAGGGGAGGAGAAGGCTCCCCCCTGTCTGGAACACCATCCTCCTTCTCTGGATAGCTCACCCTGGCCCACCCCCTCATAATGAGCCTTGCAGGCCATGTTCTCTTCAGTAGCAGCAGGGCTCACTTGGGCAGTGCCGCCGCCTCCCCCCACCCAGGCTAGCCTAGCCTCAGGCCCCCAACTCAGGGCAGTTCACTTCTCTCGGCTGGTCCTGCCTGGTCTCTGCCCTTGGACTCAATGAAGCCCTGCTTTGGAAGGCTGCCCCTTGTCTGGGGACTGGGGAATCTCACCTCACTGTCATGTGGGGGTAGCTGTCGAAGCAATTGTTGAACACGGTACCTTTCCCCAAGGCTGTTTACATAAGGAACTTTGTCCTCTGGCAGACAGCTGAAAAACTGGTCCACCTGGGAGCAATTGAGGGTTGAAGAGGGAAGGTGAAGCCATCGCAGCCAGGCAGACCATAGCCAAACCTCTGACCCTCCAACTCAAGAAAAGGGTCACACTTGGCTCCATGATCCCCTCACCTCAACCCGACCTTAAACCACCTCGCTCTGAGACTCGGGGTGAATACCTCTGATCATGGAAAACCTGAGCAATCACTGATTCCTGATGGAATTGGCCCTTGGGTCAGGCCCTGCCCCTCTCTGGGCTTCAAGTTTCTGCAGCTTGGAACGTGTGGATACTTAGTGATTCTGCCTGACCCCCTCCACTCTGAAACCTCTGCTCTGGCAGCACTGAAGAGAACTAGAGGAGAAGAGCCCGGCCTGAAGGGCACGCTTGAGTCCCAGGGGCCAGAGTTCTGGAAGGAGAGACCTGGGAAGGGGCATTGACACAGCGCCTGCTAGGTGCCAGGCGCTGTGCTCATCCCTTTTTCAAACATCGCATTGGATCTAACCAATAACCCTTAGAGGTAGGTGCTGTTCTGAGCCCCCTTTTCAGAACTTGGCAACCTCTCCGACTTGGAGCTGTTGGGTCCAAGACACTGAAAGGGGGCTTCCATTCCCTCCAGCCAATGTTGGAAGAAGAGTGAGCCTCTGCAAGGGCCCCAGGTCACTAGGCTTGTCTGAAGTGAACGTTTTAAACAGCAGAATCCCAGGCTAGCTGCCCCACCTCCGCCCACCCCCCACCTGTGCTTCCACAGAGGGGAAACCGAAGCCCTTTGAGCAGGCCAAAGAACCAGTCCAGAGAGGAGTCATCAGCGGGGGCCAAGAGGTTACCTGCTCAGGCTTGAGGCCTGGGGGCACCCAGGTATACTCCTCTGAGGTACAGCCAGAGCTATCATCTGAGACAGAATGCCTCTGGAAGTCAGAGATGAGCCGGGCCATGAGCTGCTCCAGGTCCTCGGGGACCCCACTCCCAGTGTGAGCCTCTCTGGGGCACTTGCAGTGCTGACAGATCTTCCTGTGTGGAGAAAGGCATTCCTTTCCACTCCATGCCCAGATCTGAGCCTGCCTGCTCTGGTTGAGAGGAGGCTATGAAGTCCTCCCTCCCTCCATGTGACAGGTGGGGAAACTGAGGGGGGAGAGGCTCCTGACAGGGCATCAGCAGCCTCCAGGGGGCTACTCCTCCCCACCCTTAATCTTTAAGAAGCCTCTGCTCTCTGCATTAGGGTTAGAGTTAGGAAATGACTAGCTGAGAAGTCCAGGGTCCCTCACCTCCAGCCATGCACCAGGAAGCCAGGACACTGGTCCCCACAGCTATTGCATGGCCTCCCGAGGCCAGGGTCTTCAGACTCAGGAGGCTGGGGGCAGACAGGCCAGGAGGAGCCCTCAGTCCTTCTCCCAACCCCACCCCCCACCCTACCTGGCCCTCTTACTCCTTGATTTCGCCTTGTCCCAGAGAGGAGGAGTAGGAGGGAGGAGGGGAGAAAGAAGGGAAGCCAGGGCCTCCCTGCTTCCCACCGGACCCTCCATTCCGCCTCTCCTCCCCCTTCTCCAGCTGTGGGAGAGGGGGTGGGACCCCCCACCCCCCGGGCCACAGTAGCCATCTCCACGCTGCTGGGGGCCGGCAGCCCCGGACGTCTGGGTCCCCGCCTCTGTTAAGGCCAGTTCCTTCCCTGACAAGCCCTCAGCTCCTTACCCCGCGTCCGGAGCGGCGCCGGCGGGTTCCCCTGGCGAACATGGCCACCCCGGGCTTCAGTCCACTCCCTCCCAGCCTCCGCCCTCCTAGCCGCCAGGACTCCTCCCTCCTCTCTCTTCTTCCTCCCCCCCCTTC